TTGTCATCATTTGGACTTTCGGTCTGCACTGGAAAAAGATCTACACTAAAGAAAAAAATCTGATTCTTTGTTTAAGACATAATAAAGAGGGTATCCCAGCAACGGACAGGAATAAAAACACATTTCCCTGAGCCCAGCAATAACAAAATGATTCAATTACTGCATAAATACAGCTGTGTGTGTGCACGGCTGGGTTGGTTGGCTTGGACTTTTTCAGGACACTCCAGTGGTCACCGTTTCCCTTATGATATCACAGCCTCCATCAGATCAAAGATGCTCAGTTCATCTGCCAGAATTGAGCCATTCATCAGCCGTGTTTAGCAATAACATTCTCATCCTTAATGTGCACACAAATGCAGTCAGATTGCTTTTCTCAAACTGATTGTAGTAAAAACAGAGCATTCCGTTGGAGTGAGGCCAGGCCTAATATGGAAAAAGACCGAGTAGGCAGAAGAGGGAAAGAAAGAGAGAGACTCTTTTGGCTTCCACAAAGCGGCTGATAAGTTGAGCTGCGGTGCTCATTGAGACATAGGTTGTAATTTTGCTCATCGTTTGCCATCCATTCTCATCAAGGGCTTGGCAGTGAAACCTGCTTATGGATTAACATCTGTTTGCCAGCGACATCCCCAGAAGTCTGGGAGTCCTTACATAGTCTGCTGCATTTCGCAATCTGGCTACTTATAAGCAGAAGAAAATTAATCGATGGACGTTAGCCAAGGATTCCTATTCCACAAGAGGTTTTAAAGGAAGACCGTTTATATACACCTTGGTAACAGAGAAATAAAATAATGTTGGGGAACAACTGTGGGCAGTCCTTTTGCTTTTAAAAAACTAGTGGCTGATCTAGCTGAGCTGCTAGTTAAAGCTCTCAATTTACCGGTCAATCTACACTCATGCCCTTACCTACGGCCATGAGCTCTGGGCCATGACCGAAAGAATGAGATCCGGGATATAGACGGCTGCAACGAGTTTCCTCTGCAGGATGGCTGGGCTCTGGAGGAGCTTGGAGTAGAGCCACTGCTCCTCTACATCGAGAGAAGCCAGCTCTCTGGGATCTGTTTTGTATGCCTCCTGGACGCCTCCTTGGGGATCACTAAACCATCACTGTTTAGTGATGATTCTGGCCAACATCTACACAGAAATCTGTAAATACATTACATTTGACGTTCAAATTCCATTTTCTATATTATGTTTGTTCTGTTCTGCAAAGAAGTCTGCCTGCATGTATGAACTAAGAACACTTCTTTAATTAATTTTGTAGTAGTGTCCCATAATATGAGTTTTAAGGCTTTTAATCAGTGATTTGTTTACGTAGTGTGTTTTATTTGATTACCAATGCAGAAAATAAATTACACTTAAAACTTAGAACTTTTTTTTAAAACTACAGTTGGAGAAAATACCCAACATAGTCATACCTACAACCACAGACTGGTGCTCTTATGAGTGCCTAAGCAATGAGTCATTGTCTGCTGAGCCTATCTCTAATCCTTGTAATATTCCTGAAATCACCCTTTCCTCCTGTCATTTCCTTCCTGTTCATCTGGGCTGTTAGAGGGGAAAATCCTGTCCAGATTCCACCATCGTTGTTCAATGCATCCAGTTTTATTTTAGGGAAACTATTTTCACTCAGACTCTTGGGGGATTAAAAGTATTGTGTATTCTGTAAACACAGGCAGCTAGACTTGAAGATGACTGGACTTTTTTTCTTTTTTTTCTTTTTTGGTTACTGCCTTGATTGATTTATGCAGTAGAGTAGTGGAGGGATACAGGAAGCATTGTAGGAGGTCAGGGTGAAATGGGAAAGACTGCGGAACCACACGTAAGCATCCACTGCACTGTCCACTGTAAAAAATGTATGGATGGGCGTGGCTAGGTAGAAAAACAGGTGCGAGCAAATGTTGTGATCTACGTTCTCCAATGTACGAACTCCCAATAACATGAACATTTCAAATGAAATAGGGGCAAAAGCAGTTTGCAGGATTCTGCTGAGGTGGAGGACTCCTCTCCTCCCGAATCACTTGTTATAAACAAAGACATACCAGATTTAGGTGGTCCTCCTTACCTTTTTGAATCATCAGCATCCGCAAGGACAATGGACAAAGGAAAATGTTATATTTAATAAAGCTCATAAAACACTGATAAAAATAGTCTTCGAGAACTGGAACCACATCGCCTGACATGCAAACTTCAATGCCCAGGTTGACCATTCTACAGTTCTCATATCGAGAGAAATTTTTGCAACAAATCCAGAATTTTGTCTTATTACTCGCGAGTAGCCAAAGAAACGCTCAAAGCCAGTGTTTAACTTTATCACATGGAAAGCCATGCATCGCCCCTGAACGTAACCTTGCTTTAAACTTTAGGCTTCTCTTGCGTTACTCCCATTTACCTTCTCAGTTTGCGGCCAAGCATCCCCGGGCCATTTGTGTGCTCTATGGTTGCATTATGTGTCAGCGGTAACTATGTCATGCTATACTGATGCCACAGGTGACATCATGCAGCTTAAGCCTGAGTTTCATTACTTTGCCATGAGCGCAGAACCCCCCTATTCATCATAACTTTCTTCACGTTTGGGGATTTTTTTTTTTTTTCGTTTCGGTTGATGATTATCACAGTGCTCCCCTTATGACTGTTTTATGGACACACATGCACAAATGGTCGTGTCTGTGTGTAGAGTTTAGAGTCTTGTTAATGATAATTGATGGATGTGCCTGTTTAATGTTAGGTTGGGGTTTGAATAACATTTATTGCACAGTCTGATTCTAGTTTGGAGGTTTCGAAATGGTAGAGTATGGAAGTAATTAGTCGAACCAATTGAATGCAATGCTAAACGGTTGAGGGACTGTGGTTTGGACCATACATGGGAGAGTACATCAGTGTCTGTTGTTGAAAACCTACCACTTGAAAGTGAAAGTATAGACAACAAAACACACTTGGACAAACAATTACTTCATATAGAGTATACAACAGTTCACTGTTTGGATGCATCTTCGGAGAATAATTAAAAGGTTAATATAGATTGGACTGCTTTGGTACAGTTTTGGTAAACAGAAAATGGGGAAAACATCAAAACACAATAGAGTGAGGATGATTCATTTCCTCTTTTCTCTGGAATCAAAGTACAGATGTTGCTTTTTCTTGTCAAAGAATATTTTGAGGAGCACACACTGCATTGCAAAATAAAATGGTGTTTCAAATTAATCTAAAATAAAGGGCCGTTGGGCTGTTTTTGGTGGGGTTTTTTTGTATTTGATTCGTTGAATCCTGCTAATACAAGCCTCGTTAAAAAAAAATTCAGTGGCTTGTTAATCTGGAATGTATCGTTTATGCTATAATTGGCCAATATTCAGTTTTGATTTAGCTCACGCGAATTGTTCTGATAAGAACATGGTGAGCGTATACAGAGTTTTATTTCTTTTTTTACCAACCTGTTTTGTAACGGCACAACTAGACTCTCTGAGCTTTAAGGGGCTTTTCAGCTGCTGTACTTTTTTTTTTTCAACACACGTTGGATGAGGTTCTTGAAGCAGCCAAAGTCTGACTAAAGGGATACTTTTTTTTCTGGTTGGGGATCACTATTTTAACAAATGGCACATGATCTGATGGAGTTCTGAATGGTGAAATATTCTCTATATATTCACATTAAAATTAGATAAAATTCATTGTGTTGGTTGCATATGAAATGCTTCTAAAGTTGGTATATGTTCATACATATTTTCATTTTGGCTTTATTTGACTTGTTTCTAGGCCATGTTTTTTATTCCCTATTCCCTTGAATGCCTTTTCCTTATTTTTGGAAAAATTGTATCAGTAGTGTGGTTTTGTAACTTTAATGAGGATTTATTTTACCAAATTATAATGATTCTTTGATTCAAGGTAAGGCTTGATTTCAAGGTTTGAAAAAGAGAAATGTTTATTAAATGAATACACCACACTCAAATAAACAAACAACCCAAATGAGTAACTTTAGTTTTTGTTCTTCCAGGATGAATTCCATCCGTTCATCGAGGCATTGCTGCCACACGTGCGTGCCTTTGCCTACACCTGGTTCAACCTGCAGGCCCGCAAGCGCAAGTATTTCAAAAAGCATGAGAAGAGAATGACAAAGGATGAAGAGCGCGCAGTCAAGGATGAGCTTTTGGGCGAGAAGCCTGAGGTCAAGCAAAAGTGGGCATCACGCCTTCTGGCAAAGCTACGGAAGGACATCCGACCAGAGTGTCGAGAAGACTTTGTGTTGTCCATCACCGGCAAGAAGCCACCATGTTGTGTTCTTTCCAACCCGGACCAGAAGGGGAAGATGAGACGCATTGACTGTCTGCGTCAGGCAGATAAGGTTTGGCGTCTGGACCTAGTGATGGTCATTCTGTTCAAGGGCATCCCACTTGAGAGCACGGATGGAGAGCGGCTGGTGAAAGGTGTACAGTGCTCCAATCCCATACTGTGTGTCCAGCCTCACCACATCAGCGTGTCCGTTAAAGAGCTCGACCTCTACCTCGCCTACTTTATGCAAGAGAGAGGTATGTTTATTTGGCTTTTACTCATAATATCACAGTGAGAGATTGAGGCCTTTTCCAAAGGAGAGAAGGAAATTGGGAACTCTGCCCTCACTGAACAGCTATACTGGGAAGTTGTGTAAAGATTCGGAAAAGCATAGGCATGAGACAGTCTTTTGTGTGGCCTAAATGCAACGGCCACAGAATTATGTTTTGAGATGGGTGTAATCATTTTGTGGTGCTAGTTACCAATTCGCTTCAAAAGGAATTTGTAGACTTCTTCAAACCAACGCTGGGCTTAACCAGGGTAGAAACAGGAAAAGGGAAGTTCACAATAAATACTGGTTGCAATGTATATCATATCTAATGTGGATATATGAGGTAGTCTCTCTTTTGGGTTACTACTCTACACAGATCATGGTACACAACGTTTAGGAGGATTTTATTCGTAATGTTCTACTTTTAAGAAGTACCCTTGCTCTTACATTTACATTTATACATTTGACAGTTCCCTGGGATTTGATCCCACGACCTTTGCGTTGTTTGCCCAATACTCTTCCAAGTGGGCCACAGGAAAGTCATTACCCTGATTGTGATGTATTGGGTATACAGTACTGTGTGAGTTGGCTGAGGATGTGCATTGCTTGTAAATTCCACTGACTGACTTTTTGAGTAAGCAGCATACTAGGGATGCAACGGTACACAAAGCTCACGGTTCGGTACGTACTACAGTTTTTAGTTTGGTTCTGATGGCTTGGTGAATTCTTTAAATAATTTTTTGTATAGATCACATGAACAGATAAATAATGAGTGCTCAATTTAAACAATAAACAATCGTAGCAAGGCAGGCATGAACCGCCTTTTTACATGTGTAAAGTAATAATAAAACATTCAGTAGTTATTCAAGTGAGAAACTGAAAAAAAAATTCAAAAGTGCGTATTTATCAGAGGAGGGTGTACTGAAAACTGAGTATTGTTGCATCCCTGGTGCATAGATATTAGGGGTGTAACGGTACGCTAAAATTGTATTCGGTTCGGTACAGTGTCTTGGAGAGTTCGGTTCGGTTAATTCGGTTCGGTACAAAAAAATAAAAACTTACATAATCTTTATTTTGAAAAGCTGCCAATACACAATAGATTTCTTGCATAAAATAAATAAAAGTGACACATTTGGGTGATATTTTAAATAAATTGCACTGTTTATAAAGAAAAACACATTTTATTAAATAAAAAATGAAATACTGCAACTAGTTAGGACCTGAAAACTTTTAACACTAGCAACAGCTTCAGCTTATATATCAACAAAACTAACTATTCAAGTTTTAGGCTAAAAAGATTAACCTATCCACATTTTCTGAAGAGAGCACAGATCTGGTTGCAGTGACAATATCTCCAGCAGTAGAAAATTTATTTTGCCCGATCTCCGTGGAACAATGTCGGCATACAACTTTAAATTTATCCACTCGTCTATCCCCGTTATGTATTTTAACAGGGAAGCCAAAGGCGATTTTCCGCACGGACGCTATTGAGTGTCGCACAGTACAGCTGCACGTCCCTCAATAGCGTCCGTGCGGAAACTCGCCTAGGAACATGGTTCCGCTGCGCTTAATATCGCGCTAATAATACATTTATATTATTTAATACAAATACCGAATACCGAAACGGTACGCAAGTGTCCCGAACCGAACAGGCCGTACCGAAACGGTTCAATACATACCGTGAACCGTTACACCCCTAATAGATATTGTGCTATTTAGAGGATAAATTGCAGATCATTTTATAACCATTCCAGACCATTCTCATCACCGAACCGAATTACATCAATGGGTTGAACAATGGAATCTACTGCACATTGTATGATGTTCAACCTTTTACCCCAATTAGAAGAACTGCTTGGAAACTATTGCTAGTTACATTTGTATGGAAATTATTACATTTTCAGTGATGTGAGTCTATCTAATAGTACCAGCATTAGATTACTTAACTAGACAAAGTTAGCATTTTGTAACATGCGTATGTGCTGGTAGCTGCCTCTGCTGCTGTTACATATTATATCTTTCATATTTGTGCGAATTTATATGCCATTTTAATACTTGTAGATAATCTGCAGAAAATACAGATATGAAATAAGCTTATTTTAACAATATAATAATCTTTATATAACACAGATAACAGCATCTTAAAATTTTCAGTGATGTCACTACAACTATCTGCCAATCAGAACGTTTCCTGGTGCTGCCAGTCATGTAAAATGTGAATGTTGATTAAACATTTTATTTGTTATTATTATATTTAATGTATGTATTACTATATTGGCTCAGTAGGTGTTGGATACGTCGGTTTTTTTGTACAACATCTCAACCCCCCCCCCTCTTATCCTCCCAGTCAACCTTCACCCTTCCTCGTCTGGGTCCATCAGGCTGCCAGCACGTCACCTGACCTGCCAAATGGCCTACAAACTCCTTACTGTAAACAGTGAGATAAGGAACTGTGTCCGTTTGCCCTCACTCCCTTTGACAGAGAAATAGAGAGAGCTTGAGGAAAGGAAAAGGAGGAGTGGCTGAGAAAGGCCAGAGGGAAAGAGGCGCACAGTGCAGTCAGCATTTGCTCTTAAAGGCACAGTGCCATCTTTCATTTGTAGAGCATGCTCAAATTCCCTTCATCTCAGGTTAAGCTGAACAGGCCCGGCAGTGTTCAGCTGTGGTGTCCGTGCTCAGATGCTCAGCTCTCTTTTCTAATAGAGTAAAGAGCAGGGTGGTGTGAGGTTCTCGCAGACGACTGGATTGAAAAACAGTTTCCTTTGCTGTCTCTAGCCTTGATCTCGCTTGTAGAAATTCTCTGCCATAGTGTGATCAAATGAATAAATTCACCCCTGCAGACATATTGGAGCTCTTGAATTCATCTTGGTCTCAATTTCAGTTGTTCACATGACATGTTTTGTGCCCTGTCCTCCTCTGATCTAGTTTAATTTAACCCTCAAGCTCAGAAGCTTTTGCTTGGACAATAAATATTACACTTGTCACAACAAACAGGAATGTTGGTTTGAGTGAAGGCTGGTTTGGCTGGGACTAGAGACATCTGTGTCGGATATCAAGCTTAGGCTCTGTGAAGAGCATTAAAACACTTTCAGTTCACATGTACAGCCGGTCAGCCGAGCAAGAACTGTTATGGACACACGCACACACAGTAAACCCAGAGAAGCTGGAATGTGCTCCAGAGCTCTGGCAGCGGAAATTTGGGAGGGGTGGGAGAAAGAGGGTCGGCTCAGGTCAAGTTCAGGGAGCTGTTGGCCTCCAATAGGGGGAGGTGTTCGGTGAACTTATCTACTTAAAGGCACAGAAGCCTATTGAGAAAAGTAGCAGTCAGTATTACATGATGGTATCTTTTATTAGAAATAGTTGTTCATTAATATTAAGACGTTAACAAATGTTGAATTTGACAAAAGTGGCATGTTTTTGAACATTGACGTGTTGCATTGAACTGTGTTTCTAAACTCTCTGTAGATTTATATGAGGTAATATTAAACAACAAGACTTGAGGTTCTGTATTTTGGCGGGTAACTTGAGCTTTTGTTGCGAGTGAGGCAAAATAAAAGTGCACTTTAAAACTTTATCGTTTTCAGTGTGCACTGAATATGTTCATGGTGGTGGAGTTCTATTTCTTCCCCTTATCCTACATAATAAAACTACATCATTCACTGTTGAACTGGAGTGACGAGGGTTTTTACCAGTGAAACTGGGTGTGACTAGCATTTTTGTTTCCATTATTCTATTTCACAGTACACAAAAATAACTATTGAATAACTTAAAATGTTGAAGTCAACAGACTAGCCATTACAACTGTGTGAAGTCATTGCTATAAAATGAAACAGCAGGAGAAGGCATAAATTCTAGAGATGAATGCAGAGGGAGGTCACGGCTGAAAGTCAGAAGCATTGCTGCTCTATGGTAATCAATCTGTCCGATCAATATTTGGCCAGCCAGGCCGAACACAGCTCATAGTGCTGACCATTCACAACACACTCCACGTGAGACATGCTGACCGCAAAACTGCACACGGTCAAAATGAACTCTCCTGTGAAAAGGGAAGAGCTGGTATTCTTCACGCATCTCTATGGTAAAAGTTGGATTTCTGGTTGGGGTTTCAACGCTTAATCAATCTGTTGCATAATGAGGTATATTCCTATGCATTACCTCAAGAATTAGAGTCAATGGCATGGGTCAAATTACACATTTTTTGTGTACAATACGTACAAAAGTTTTAGGCAGGTAAAAAAAAGATTGTTTAAATTTTAAAAAATGAAAATGTTGGTAAGAAAAGATGAGGTTGAGAAAGACATTTTCTTGCGAGCATCAAGCCACAAGGTATTTAGGATTACTGATGGGGTGGTGGGTCAAGGAAGCTTATGCAGCACATCAAGCAATTTACCATAAACAGAAGATGTCCAGCAGTGACATCAGCCCAAAACTTTCAGAAACTAACGAGACCCAGGAACATCCATTTACTGACCAGAAAAAATAGCCAGAGGTGCTCTTCTTATCATAAGACTGGGGTGCAGAAAAATGAGTCCTTTTGACTGAGGAGCCAAAAATTGTAGCTGTAGCAGAAGGCAGTTTTTTCATAGAAGGTTGAACAGTGAAGCATGGTTGAGGATTCTTTATTATTTGGGGCTAGCAAATGGAGTTGATGATTTGGTCAGGAATGATGGCGTTCTCAATGCTGAAAAATACTGACATATATAAAGCAATAGCCATCAGGGATTGCCATATTGTCTTTGATTGCCATATTTCTTCTGCAGTAGGACAATGACCTCAGACATGCAGCCAAACAATCAGTCTAAAGAACCTTTTGCTGTTTGGAAGCCAATGGGTGGCCTCACCAAATATTGTTTTGATTTAGATTTCTCTTTTGAAGATTCCATTTTTAAAGCATTCTTTAGTAGCGTTTTTCACATGCGCCTGAGTTTTGTATGTGGTATAACTGTTTTTGTGGAATTGGTGTATCACAGTGACTTCAGTGAATAGAACGAACAAAGAAAAAGCAGTTCCTGACCTCTGTAATTAGCACATTCCACATTGCTATGGCTGATCACCTCAAATCAAAATCTTGATGTTAACTCAATTACGATTAATGAATGATGTTTTTTTTTTTTAAATGTTTATTGCTTTTACATTTGAACAGATAGGACAGTAGAGGGAGACAGGAATAAAGGCGGAGAGAGAATAGGGGGGGATGGGAAAGACGGTCCGGGACTCGAACCTGCTTTGCCCTCCGCAACCGCGCTTACATGTCCTGCGCACCATCCACTACACCACGGGCCAGGACGATGATTTTTTTTTACATTTATTTTTCTCCCCCTCATCGTTGACTGACAAGTTTTATACTGTTTTTTACTATTAAGTATGATATTTTGAATAAAAGGATACATTGCTCCATTGTTGGCAGTGAAGCAGGGTCATGTGACTCCACGCCAGTGTTTTTAAAGTGAAAACAATTCATGAATTGAAAATTGTATCGGTTATAAGTTCTGAATGTCGAAGTAATTGAAATCAATTGATTTAACATTGGCCCTTGGAT